TTGATTTGACTCGGATCATAATATAGATAAGATCACCTCGTTGCACTTGACGCACTTGAATCTAAACACGGCATATTCCACTGACTTGCACTCTTCACAGTCCACTTGTATCTGTTTGCTGAAACAGTTCCAACTGATATGCCTGCTTATTGCGCAGTATGAAAGAAATCAAATCACCTACGAGTGACATCTCGCCAACAAGATGGTTCTGTTCTAACCAATACTGCCGATGATGCGCACTCACTACAGTAGACTCGCAGTTTACCCCTTCGGATATCGTTACATGTCTTGCACCACACGTAGAACGATCCGATCTCAGGGGTTCCACGAGCTACTTGTGATTCCGACGGCGAGTCGGAGCTAGCTGCTCTAGCTACAGATGCAGATGGCTGCTGATTTTCCACGAAGACAATGAGCGACCTAAAAGTGCTTATCAGTGGCATGGACTTTCACAGATTCATCGTTCTGAAGTCTCCTTTCTACTCTTGAACTTTAAAAAAATTTCACTCGTTTGACGCGTTATCATGAAAAGAATAAAAATTCTTTTTACAAAACATAGTACTTAAAACTAAGGGACTAACATAGTAGTTGCGAACAAAATTTCTCTCAATTTGTTTGCTGCAATTTTGCATGATTTTGCCTTTAGAAGCGAAATAAAAATGGAGAAATGATTGTAATATAATTGGAGAGTTTTGCAGCTAAAAAAACAAATGAAACAGAATGGGATCAATGCAAAGTGAAGCTGCATAGGACGTTTTGGGTTGGCCCGAATTTGCCGCACCATTTTCAAAAATTCATAACTTTCTTCTTTTTCAAGCGATTTGCATACGTTTAATTTAATTGGAAAGAAAACAACTTCTTTCCAATTACCTAAGGCATCTCTTGCAAACAAGCTCCGCAGAACGAATCCGGGGAAAAATTGCTCAATTTTCGAATTTCTTGTGTTTGGTCGCAAAAAAACCTGGAACACACTTTGGGCTGATTTAACGTCTCTATGAAAAGTTTTGATTTTTGAGCAAGGAGCACAAAACAGCGAACTTAATTTTCTTAGCATTTTTTTCCAAAAATCACAATTTTCATAAAGACGTTTAATCACTGCGAACTTCACTAAGTCAGAAGGAGCAGGTAGTAATATGGTATCGACTGATCCGAATCAAGGTTGCAAGTTTCAGATATTTGCGACCGAACACAGGAAACTCGAAAATTGGGTAATTTTCCTCGCGAGCTTTTGATTTCCGGAGCTTGCTTGCAAGGGCAAATTTAGATTTGATTCTTCCAAACAAAAATTAACAAGATAATAAATCGTTTGAAAAGAAGAAAGTTATGAGATTTGAAAACGCTGCGACAGAATTTCGGAAATAATATAAACACGGACAGAGCAAAAGTGAGAGTGCTGAGACGTCAAAGTCTCATCATTTCCTCGATTTCATTACGTGAATTTTGACTATAATTGAATATAAAAATTAAAGCAGCACCTTTTTCGATGTTCTCTTCAATTATAAGCTTCATCGAGTGCTATATGTGGGATAAGCAAGTCAGCATTCACATATCTCCTTATCATTGTTTTATTTATAGGTCTCAAAGTCACCACTTTTTTGATCCGACGGCACAAAAGAAACCTTATTCACTGATTTAGAGTCTATTTAGGATCGAAGAGAGCGATAACGTATTGCTTCACACAATTTGAGTGCTGCAGAAAAGTCTGCAAAGATTATATGATTTCGCACCGCTTATCTTCAAATGCACTTCTTTGACAAAGAGCCGAAATAGTTTTTTTCTGATTCTGCAACGAAGATCTGTAGTACATACTCATCCCGACAGCTGTCAATATTTGCTGTACTACTTTTATGTCAATTAGGTTTGGAGTAGGAAGTGTTGACAAGATAATTTTTGCTGTCCTCCAATCACAGTTCTGTGTTTCGATGGCATCTTTCAAGTAAAATTGCATACATTTTTTGCGCCTCAACACTTCCCCCTCCCTCCTTTTTTTACAGTAGTTTTCCGTGCATACGTTATAAAGCTCAAACCTACGTCGTTGGTCCGAGTAGAAGATCTTTCATCATAGTGCATTCTTCTAAAGCATGTCCACATAGAACAACCTAAGTACGAACTACGTAAAAAGAACAAAATCGTTCTGCAATACGTACCCTCAACTGTTGTGCAGGTACTCCTAACTTTTGACTGAGCCGTTCTTCTATCATTTTCACGGTGTCATCCATTTCAAATGGAAGGACCAGTGATCTCTTGGAGTGGTCTGCCCTATTATGCACTATCACTGCAAGCTCATCCATCGGCATAAATGCCCTGAAAACATCAAGACTTTTACACAGATGGATACGTTCAGAACATTCGTAGGTACGCGAAGTCTGGACGCCGTTGCTTCCGGTCGAGATAATATGTGTTTGGCAGAGACAGTAACGGCTGCAGGAATGAAAGTGTATTTAATCTAAGAGACGCCGACAGGATTCTGCATTGACGACCTGTCTCTGCGCGCTATAAATCGTCCTTGCACCGATGTCGAAGTATGATAGTTGGTCACTGTTGAAAAATTCATAAGAATTTTAGAGAACTGATTTTACGACCACCAATGACGAAGAAGCTAAGTAGCTCTCCCAAAGAGAAGATTTTGGGAGATGATGGTGTCCGAGATTCGAAAAGTAACAAAATTGTGGAACTAAAGTGTAAACGCCCAACTATGTTCACAATTAGAATGGAAATCTTTTTAATCATAAGAAAAA